AACTCGTGGAAATACAACACCAAGAATGAACCCTCATGTCAACTGGGGGCTTTAGTTAATAATATGTATCCATATCAGCTCATCAATTGTAACGAGTGTCCCACTCAAATGCAGGATGTGAATAATAGTGGAGACTTTGTATACGTGGCGAGAGGTATATGAGAACTCTCTGTACTTTCTGCACAAAGTTTCTGTCAACCTAAAACTGCTCTACAAAATAAAGTCTATCCGTTATTTAAAAAGTTTAAAAATAGTGCACGAACAGACATCAGAGCAACAAGGGGAGAAAAGTCAGAAATAAACCCAAATATCGACAGGAATTTCGTAAATTACAAAGCTGACGTCTCGGATCATTGGGTGGGAAGAATGGGATCCATTCAGAAAATAGCGTTAAGGTGAAGGGGTAGCCATCTGGGACAAAAGTTCGATACATATCACAGGAAGGAGAAAAAGCAGCAGGAGGAGGGGGCAGGGAGAGGAGGAGGCAGTAGCAGCGGCCACTATTTTTCATCTTACTTCATCTTCTGTGGAGCAGGTATTCTCTTACCTCCATGGGGTTGATGAGTGTCTGGGAGGTGGCCACAGCCAGGGAGCTAGCAAGGAGACGTTCCTGAAAGGGTGGGGACCCATGCGCTCCACAGAAGGAATTCTTACACTGGCACAGGAGAGAGGAGCACGAGAGAATAACCATCTGCCTCCCCGAGAGCCATCCGGGCCAGAGGTCTGGGACCTGGAGAGTGAGCTTGTGTTTTTGGGTAACGATCTGGGCTTTGGGGGGGATGTGGGAGGGGTGAGGGCTTGAGGGTGAGGCTGAGGAGAGCAGACCGTATGCACCTGTTCAAAGACGGAGAACTTGATGGCGTACTCCGGGGCGATCTTGAGTACGTTGATGCCGTTGCCCCGCCAGAGGGAGCGGAAGCCCCCCTCTTGAACCATGCTCTGTAGCCCCCCCAACAGGTTCATGAAGTTCGTTTTTGAGGCGTAGACCTGGGGGTAGGGAGGCCCCTGGCCCGGTGAGGAGCCATCCACCCTATCTCCATCCGCATCCCACCCTGGAGCTCAAGCCCATCCTGTCCCCAGGCACCCGACCCCTCTCATCCACATTCCTTCTCTAGTTCCGTCCCTGGCCAGTGCTAGAATTCTCTCACCCAACGCAGACCCAAAACCAGTCTGACCGACCTGAGCCCAGCGCCGAGCCACATGCCCATCTCCTCCCTCATCTCCCCCTTCTCTCCAGTCCCACTAGGTCTTCAAGGCCCTCCGAAGACCTCCGTCGCCAGTTCCCTGACCCCCAACCCCAACTGTGCCCCTAGTACCATTCTCTCGACTCCCCCAGCTCGGCTCCACGCCCCACCCCCATCGGCTCCGTCGCTGTCCTCGGCTCCGGCTCCGGCTCCGGCTCCCACTCCACCTTCCTTCAGCCTCTTCTCACTCAGCTCCGGCCCATGTCCCAGCCTCACCCTCTCCGACTTGTCTCCAGTCGAACCCCCACCCCCATCCCGAATTCCATCGTCTCCACTTCCGTCCATCTCCGCCCCAACGGCTCCAGCGCTGTGCCCCCCACGGACCTGCATGTGCACCCTGGCACGGTCCAGTGGGGCCGTGCCAGTGCGTGACACTGCCCCAGCCGTGGCTCCCGAGAGCAGAAACTTCCACAAGGGCCCCTCGTTATCCACTTCCAGGACGTCCACGGGGACCATCAGCTGCTCCCCAGTGTCAAGCACCTGCAGGGCAGACCCAGCTCTCGCCCATGCTCAGCCAAGTTGGAGCTGCTTCCCCAGACACACCTCCAGAATACCCTCCCGGTGAAAGGCCCACCCTGGTCCTCACTGTTCCAAGATGAAATTCTAGGTCTGCTCAGAGGGGAGTGGGCCATGCAGAGGGGATGGGCTCTGTGGCTTTCTCTTCCTGCAGTCCTGGCTGGAGACACTGTGTGACCTGTAGTTCTTAGACTCACTTGCTGTGATGGGAGGAGCTCCAGGTCATTTTCACGCACGTGCCCAAACACGTACCCGTACACGTGTCTGCAGCCCGGATTCCGAGGGACGGGTGGGGGTGGGGGTGGAGGCGGAGCTTTGGTGAATAAGGCCTTGACCCTCTTGAACAGGGTCTGGACCCTGGAGTGAGGCTTCTGAGCTTCCTCAGGTTTGGCCCCCATGGCAGCTATTCAGGACACTGAGGTTCAAGTACCTGGAGGGAGATTTGCCTACCAGCGACCATGTGGGAGGGGCACCTCGAAGATTTGGGTCCCAGGGGATGATGAGGTCACAGAGGCCCTTGTGACCAAGCTGGACATGAGGGGCTGAGTGAGGGTCTCCCCCGCCAAAGGTCCACGTCCTAATCTCTCTAAACCTGGGAAGGTGTTTGTTATATGAGAAAGGTAGAATGAAGTTTGCAGATGGAATTTCAGAACAGTTGGCGTTGGAGTGATGATACAATAAGACAGCCTTCAAGGCCTTGCTGGCTTTGGAGGAAGGGACCAGCAGCGATGGAATGCAGGTGGCCCCTAGAGGCTGGAAAAGCCTGGGAAACGGACTCTCCTCTCGAGCCTGTAGAAGAAGCCACCTCTGCCGATGGCTTGAGTTTAGCCCGGCGAGATCCATGTCAGGCTTCTGCCCTCCAGAAGATTACATCTGTGGTGTTCTAAGTCACCAGCTTTGAGTCATTTGTTGCAGCAGCCACAGGAAACTAATACACTGTGTGATTGTCATGGCAATAGAAAGAATGGGAAAGTTCTGGAAGGCTGTGGGAGAGAGAGACAGTTGGTCTCCAAAGGAAGACAGGCATAGGTTTGGAGTCAGAAAGACCTGAGCTTGAACCTCATCTCAGACGCTTCTTGCTGTGTCACCTTGGGATACCTGCTTTACTTCTCTGAGCTTCAGTTTCCCCATCTGGAAATTGGAAGTAATGATAAATTCTGCCACCTGGTGCTGTCGATAGGCTCCAACAAGTCTTCGTTGAGGGCACCTCCGTCCTTCAAGTTCTCTGGTCATTCCTCCACCCCCGTCCCCATTTCTGGACTTCCCCCCACAGTCTATCCGATCCACAGCAGCCATTGGAGGGCACCTACGAGTCAGATCTTGTCCCCCCTCTGCCCACAGCCCCCCAGGACTCCCACCTCCCTTGGGGTGAAAGCCCA